ATATGCTGCTGACAGCGGTCAGCACCCCGAGCGGTATGCTGTGGTTAGTGATGCCCCAAGGGCTATCTAGCGCACCTGCAACGTTCAATCGTCTGGTGATGCAGTTGTTTCGGCCCCATAGAGCGTATGCACAGACACACTTTGACGATATATTCGTCCATAGTCGAGCCGAAAATGGCAAGACTGATGTGGAGAATCACATCGAGCGCTTGCGAGCTGTGCTCGGTTGCATGAGGATGCATAAGTTGTATACCAACATTGACAAATGCATCTTCGGTGCGGAAGAGATTCGCTTTTTTGGATGCTTCATTGGGAAGCGAGGAATCCGGGCAGACACTGTTAAGGTCAAAGCCATAGTGGATTGGCCGGTTTCGAGAAACCAGAAGGACCTCTGCAAGTGGTTGGGTTTGGCAAACTACTTGCACAAGTATAGCCACAACTATGCGGAAGTGGCTAGGCCATTGTCCAATCTCCTTAAGAAGGATGTGGAATGGCGTTGAAACACCGAGAACCACGAAACTTTTGTAGCCATTAAGGAGAGTTTCCTTCAGGCGCCAACTCTGTCCCTGCCTGATCCTGATCGCCCATTTAGCGTCGTATGTGACGCTTCGGACTTTGTTATTGGCAGTACACTTTTGCAAGTCGACTATGAGGGTCGAGAACGCGTCATCGCGTTTGAGTCTCGCCAGCTGAAAGCTGCAAAGATGAACTATCCAGTTCATGACAAAGAGCTACTTGCGATGAAGTATGCCCTTGTCAAGTTCAGGGTACACCTGTTGGGCTCCAATCCGTTTGTGATCTATACCGATCATGCGTCGTTACGCACAGCGACACAGTCGACTCATCTCTCGCAGAGAATGGCTCGTTGGCTCTCCTTTTTTGCGGAGTATAACTTCGAGGTGAAGTATAAGCCGGGAAAACAGAATGTGTTGACCGACGCGTTATCGCGTAGACCTGACTATGAGCTTGCTTATCTCACCTTCTGTGAGTTTGTCGGTAATGGATCGTATCCGTGTGGCATATGCACGCGATGAGGCATGTGTTGCCATTATGCAGGCGCTGGGTAGCGCAGAGCTTGAGAACTCTAAGGTGAAGTTGTCACCACGTAATCGTGCAAGATTACATCGTTATGCACTGACCGATGGTCTGTTGTACTACAGTACAGGGTTGGATGACCAGCCTCGTATTGTGGTGGCTCATGATGAGGACCTCAAGTATCAGATACTTTATGAGGCTCATGATACACCACTTGGTTGGTCGTTTAGGTCGTGAGAAGACCTACAGCTCGGTGAGCACCCATTATTGGTGGCCCAAGTTGTATAAATGTGTTGGTACCTACGTACGCACGTGTGAAACGTGTCAAAGGGCAGAAAAAACTCGCCTAATATGGCTGCGCCTCGGCGAGTTTGCCTGTGTCCTCGTGGTTGTGGCAGTCCATTAGTATGGACCTTGTGTTTGGCCTACCGCGTGATGCGGCAGGCAACACTGGGATTGTGGTCTTTGTAGACCGATTGAGCGAGATGGCTCATCTAGCGGCAGTGTCGGACTCCATTGATGGAGAAGGAACAGCAAAGCTGTTCATGGATCGTGTGTTTAGGCAACACGGATTGCATGTGGCCATCGTCTCGGATAGAGACCCCCGTTTTACGGGTAAGTTTTGGACGTCGGTCTTTAAAGTGCTCGGCACTTGACTGGACATTCCACGGCGGATCATCCGCAGACCGATGGTCTTTCTGAACGCGTCAACCGCGTTATTGGCGATATGCTTCGCAGTGTTTGTGCTGAAATACCCAAGCAATGGAGCATGATGCTCCCTCTCATAGAGTTTTCGTTGAACAACGCGGTGCATGCCTCGACAGGCTTCACTCTATTCTATGTGAATGGTTTGGTCAACCCTCGCGTTCTGTTAACGCTACCAATTGCCACATCAGGTCTTAGTGGGGGGAGAGATAGCTGAAGGCTTGGCTGATATCAGCCCTGTTTCTATGCGCAAAAAGGTGGAAGCGTTTCTGTCAACGCGTTTTGACGTATTACGTCACGTCAAAGACGCTATGGCTGAAAGCCAGGATGTTCAAAAGGAACACGCGGATGCCAAAGGCAGGAAAAACGAACACGAGTTCAAAGTGGGTGATTTGTTTTATGAAACCGCTAGGAATTTACCTACTCGTGCCGTTTCGTCGGTATATAAAACTAAACTGCGTCCACGCTTTATCGGACCTTTCAAGGTCATAGGCAAGAAAGGCTTAGCCTATACGCTGAACCTTCCCAAGACGATGCGAACACACCCTGAGTTTTATGTGAGCTTACTGAAGCCATATCTCAACCCTGACTCGATGGACTTCGAGGGGTTGTCCCCATATCCCCGGCCGAAAGAGGCGGGTAGTACGACACCGGAAGTGCATATGGACGATGGAGGCGTACCAGAAGATCAAGTTGACACCGAAGCTTAGTTTGAGAGCTTTCAATCGCCGCTAAGCGATCCGAGGTCTCAGAGCGATAACGCTCAAAGTATCGACGGTGTCGATCGACACGGTCATCGAGCGATGACAGGTGAGACGTCACCGATGCAAGAGCATCACGCTCCAGGAGTGTCAGGCGGCGCTCTATCTCAGAGAGATGAGAGGCCAATGGGTCATCGACCTCCTCCGACGCTGATTGACGAACTGGGTCATCAACAGCTCCACGTGGAACGTCTCTTGGCTCGGCGTCGTCACCAGGGTCATACCCAATACTTGGTGAAGTGGAGGGGTTACCCCCCTGTCGTGCGACTTGTGGGAGTATGAGGTACCCCTCCGGCAGGATTGCCCTGACGCCGTTGACGCTTTTGACCGTCCTGGTCAAAAGCGACGACAGCTGTCGTCGGGCGCTTCCTAGCACTTAGTGCTGTGGAAGTAGGGTCAGTAGGCTGGATTCTCCTCTGTCCTTCAGAAGAAGCCAATGTCGGTACATCACTCGTGTGAGAGGTACGGGCAACAGCTTCAGAAGCAGAACCCCACAAGTCTTTGACCTGTATGTGGAAAGTAATTGACGTTTCGCTTTGAGCTTAGCAAAGTTAAAACGTAGACGACGTTCTAACCAAACGTCTTGCGATTTAGCGCTTAAACGCAAGTTTGGCAAACTTGAGAGCTTACATGCTCGTTCTACCGAACGGGTGAACTAGTGATCATCTTGTGCAGATGTTTCACCTGGTGCAAGCACCGCTGGTATGCCGTTTAGTGGGTGCACGAGCACCCCACGTGACTGTCGTGACAGTCGCTCCTGATACGATCTCATCGTAACCTCTTGGGGAGTAAGGGGCTGCTCATGAAGAGCAACGCTATCTGCATCCTGGCAGGCCGTACGGGATGAGACCCAATGACATAGGCTCGCAACGATTGCGATGCAGCTCGTCAAGCTTTCTCTTTAGGGTCCCGGGGCACGAACCCATAATCACGTCGTTAAAATGTTTGTTTGGGCCGTGCCAAAGCGGCCGCTTGGGCCTCGTCATCGAGTTGACGACGCTGTGCAGCGTCAAGAGGGTTGGTTACGTCTTCGTCAGTACCCTCTTGCAAGGGAAGTGGTGGCACTTAGCGCAATAGGTCTGTCTCCTTTGGGGGAGAAGACACAAAATGGGATCTACGTCCCTCGCTCGGTGAGCGTGATGATTTTGGGGTACCATGGCCCGAAAGAGACTCGGCACCGCTACCCCTAGAGGCAACGTCACTGTCATCGTCTCCAAAGATGTCGCGGCGCATTGCATCATCCATGATGGAGCAAGCTCTATAGGGTCAAGTGCTTTAAAAAGCAAGTGTTGTGAACACTGTAATGCTTCAAAGCAAGTGCTAGGCACCTAGTGCTGTGAATGCAAGTGTTCGTAAACGCACAAAGGGTAATATTACCAAGTGCTTGGCACTTAGCGCTTATAAGTAAGTGTCGTAACACTTAATGCTTTAGCGTTAGTGCGATGCACTGTATGCTTAAAGAGCGAGTGTCGTAACACAAGAATGCTTAAAAAGCGTGTGTGCAAGGCACGGATGCTCAAGAAGCAAGTGTTGAAAACGCTAACGCTTTGTTTGCAAGTGCAAGCACTTATTGCAAGGCAAGCAAAATGGGAAGAAAATGAAATTGATGCCTCCCATTAAGTGAAAAAAATCGTGGGTACGTTGGGTGAGGGAGGGAGTAAGGGGGTTACACGAAGGTGTGTATTGTACATACACACCTGCCACACCAATGTGGTGTGGCTGTACTTTGGGTACAAGAGTAGGGTACCAGGGTCAGAGAGCCACGTGGTCATTATACTTATTTAAGTATAGTGACTATGCATGTTTGCATAAAGATAACAGGCTATAGAGCCAGTAAATAGTGACTAGCACTAAGTATAGAGTAGGTGCTTCTATATTTAGTGCTAGAAGATAAACATAAATACAAATCAGTTTCAAACCTGCTCTGGAAGCCTTACAGCTTGAGCATTCTATTCCATCTAAGAAATTAAGTATCTTTGATACTAGTCTCTCTGAGACCTGGTTGTAACAACCGATAGGCACAAGCTGACTTGCTAGCCTAGCAGTGTTAAGCACCCTAAGACGTAGAAGCTCTCTGAGCTTGTCTTCCTCTGCACATAGTGCATACGTAGCTTGGCTACAGTAGCTCAGCTACATCCTCTGCACATAGTGCATAAGTAGCTTGGCTACAGTAGCTCGGCTACTTACAACCTCTACGGACTCGCAGATATATATGCACTGCCAGGCAACAATGATTTGGTACATCTTAAATATACTGAGTTTTACACAACATCGTATCTTTTACATGTTTTATACAGTAGCAAGACGGTAACGAGTTAAAGTGCATGTAGCCATTTGATTTGGCTACACTATCTATTATTCTGAGTTGTTATTATTATAAATTATTTGGACTAAGCCGTGCAATCAAAACGGTTCCCACCAAAATTTTAAATAAAGTCTCACAGTTTCTGTACACTTTCGTGTTGATAAAGTGCTATTATTATTGCCTCCAAGCGGACGATGGCGTCGAGGCGCCGTCCGAGTGTGGACCGGGAGGAGGCACAGGCCTTGGAAGCTGCCGTGGGACTGCAATCTACAGGTACAAAACTTGTGTGCATTGACTTTGATGCTACGTTCGTGAATGTGCACACAGGAGGTCTGTGGTCCGCCTCAGCTCTGGAGCTCCGTACTCACGTACGTCGTTTCTTCCTGCTGCTTGTGCCGCTACTGTGTGAGGCCCATGTGAATGTAGCGATTGTGACATTTAGTCCACAAGTGGAGCTTATTCGTGATGTCCTTCGTCTGAGCTTTAGTACTCAAGTTGTGAACCAACTTGTGGTCCGAGGTGATGATCGGTCGTGGTATTTGACACAAGACCAGACCGTATCCTTCTTGCCATTGGGACAGACGGATGGACGCCATTTAGACCGCAAATTCAAGCTACCATTTGTAATATCGGCTGCACTCGAGATTCAGCAGCGATTGGGTGGCGTCATATGCAACCGAGACACGGTGTTGGTGGACGACGACGTCGTCAACATTCGAGTTGCCAACGACAGCGGCATTGTCGGGGTCTTTTTTGATCCAGAGGAACAGAATATTGAGTCATTTTGCAAGAGACTCAGGAAACTGCATGCACCGAGTCTGGAGCTTGAGCCGACGCCACTGAGAACCCCAAGTAAGAAGCCAAGACAAGGATCAGGGAGTGTCAAGCTCGTGGCCAAATCAACCCACAAATTCTTGTCTAAAGGTAGTGGTAGTGGAGCAAAGAGAAGGCTGCGTGTGGCTTCTGGAAGTGGAAACGGACGGGCATCGTTGACGTTCAACATGTGTACACCGTCACCGGTGATGAAGCTGAAGTACAGCGTGGACATGGGGCGGCCGAGACCGAAGCGGGCGTCGAGAAGTACAAAAAATTATAGCAAAAAATTTTTGAAGGCGGGTCTACCGGCGGTTGTAGAGGAATCGACATAGCGGGGTGCGCAAATGACCAGGACTCCCACAAAACAAGCAGCTTTGTTGCAAAAAAGCGTCCAAGATCCGAGGATTGGAGACGTCGCCTATTGTAGACAAGATGTAGACGAGCAGATAGACGAACAAGTAAGTATGTAGTGAGATACATAGAGCTGTATACGCTGATTAGCAGCGAAAGGAGGCAATATAAAGCCTGCTGAAGCGGAATCTGCAGAATTGTATTTCCTGCAGTGGATAGCTACGTAGGAATATCATGCAGATTCACAATGAAGTGCAAGATTTGCATTCTGAGTTCTTGTCTCATTTAAGAGTACAAGCACTTCTGCGCATATTTGTCCCTATCCCTTCCACTGATAGACGTCGTTATTGTTTATCAGTGGAAGGGATAGGGAAAAATATGGTACTCTTAGTGCTTGCCGGTCTTCCAATTAAGGCAACGGTCTTCCTCCTTCACACCTGTCATTCATTATCGCGGTCGTCAAATACACAACAGAGACTCCAAACGTTAGCAAAACGTACCAATGAGAGCAGCATCAATGTGCATACCGCATCCTTTCCACGTGACCTTGTGACAAGTAGTGCACTCTACTTTCATACACATGACAATGGCACTTATTGGCTTCTCTTTTCTCTGGCAAAAGACGTGAAATTTGAGAATGAGCTCTTTGGGTCCTGCGATTGTATGCAGATATAAAGGTTCTGTGTTACAAAGCATATGCGCACTTTCTTAACTAACGTCCACTCGACTAATATGCCCTTGAACATCCTAATTAAACTATGCTTTGCTTCTCACTATCTTTCACGCATGATGTTGCCGTTATTATGTTTGACTAACGTAATGATCCTTATTTGTTCGATTATTTAAGATGAAAATTGATACATACCGAACAAAGCCCCATGTGCAAAGCCGCATAATCATGATAAAATCTCTATTGTAGCCGAGAAGTTCTGCTTACTCAAATGTAAAATTCAGGTAAATCCACAAATCCTTTGCCAAATGTATTTGTGAATCTACCTTGTCTAAGTTTGACGTGTTATGGCGCATTCTTCAAGTAACTATAAAGACGCACCCGGCAAAAATTCTTGCACCTCTTCTAGACCAATAGCTGGTGAAAAGTGCAGTAAAAGAAACAAATAGCCGCTGGTGACAATGACATCATCGATTCAATTCCATTGATCTGTTAATCTTCTTTAGCGCCATCAAAATGCTGCGTATGAGTAGCTGGAAGATTAACCTTCCACGCCGTAACTGGCGCTCTAATAACAGCAAGACAGCAAGTATTATAAATACGCATTAGTGGAGCGACTTTGAGCGCGTCTCGTCCATGTAAGACGACAGACTTGGGCAGACACCAATTATTTTTCTCGGACAGGCGCGTGTTGACCGCGAACGACTAGTAGACATGCAGCATGGAGGTTGCCAGGCAGGAACTTGACATTGTAACGGAAGCGAAAAGGCTAAACCTTTATTGCATCTAGTATAGTGTTTGAGAGAGTAAAGTCGATCTGACTCGTGGGAGACCGACCGAGAAGCGGGTGTGGAGACAATTCGGCCGTGCAGAGCTCGATTTGAGTTTGCTTGATCAAGTGTGTCTGGCCTCGACTTTTTTCGATGTCGTTATCCTCTGGTAGTTTTCGTGCTTGCCGGTCTTCCAATTGGGGCAACGGTCTTCTTTACACGGGCGTCAAAGACACAAAAGAGACTGCTGACGTCAACGGGACGTACCAAGGTGAGAGCATCATCAATGTGCATACTGCATCCTTGTCACGGGGCCTAGTGACAAGTAGTGCACTTTATTTCCATACACATGACAATTAGAAGCCGAGATTTGTACGACTACGCAAGAAAGATCGACTTGAATCTGTCCCAAGTCCCAGGAAAGGGGCTGGCGACAAGAGCATATGATAAGAATTCTATTATCTATTCTAGTGGTGAGGTCCACGACGGCAACGTTTCGTAAAGTTCCGCTAGAGGCAAATCACATTTTGACGTTGTGCATTGCAATGCTCAATCGCAACATTACAGCGAGGAATGCCGTGACGGTGCACGTTTAATAGGACTGAAACGAAATTTAGATTCTGCAAATAAGTTGCAACAACTCGCTTCATTACTTTGTCAACGACGCGACGACTATAGCGACTGCACTGATAACAATACAGACCATGCCAGTCACCCAGCAAACCATGCGAATGAGAGCCAACCTATGAGCGTACACGATAGTGTGGCCAACACGAGCGACAGTAAAGATCAGCAACAATGTCTTGGTAAGAGAGGCACTCACACCGACGCAGATAGCACTCCAGAATACGACGTAGGCCATTGGCATGGACTCAAGGTCGTTCTGGATAATGCGCCTCCAGCGCGTTTCCTCCTCGACCGCCGTTCGGGTGCAGACGTCCGTGAAGTCTACAAATCCTTGCTGTGGGGCGTTCTTAGCCTGAGGTAGCTTACTATCCTCCGGCATGCGCGTGCCGGCAGCAAAAGCCTTTCTGCCTTGGATTATAGTGCATCCCAGGAACTTAATGTACAACACGACGGCGCTCAGAGCAAACATCTTGACGTCAGTGATGACTTCTGACATAGCGGGTCAAGATCAAAGTAGATAGAGCTTGATGGTTGAGACAGCAAAGTCAGCAATGCTAAAAGCTTTGTACTGTAGAGAGTGAGACCTTGACATGAGGCAGTTGTTGACGCATCAATGAGCGAAAGCGACGCCAATGAGACGTGCAATATCGCCTGGATATGACGCCATGCGGACTATCTTTGGGACGTTTCAACGCCCCAGACTGTTATCAAGAAGATGGCTCTTTCACCTGCGCTATCAGATGCATCTATAGGGTGTCGGTTTATCTGCACTGCATTTATACGTCCAGTTGTTATCTGCGTGGCATTCGCCATCTTTTTTATTGCCTCATGTTGAAGCTTGATGGTAGGTAAGTCAGACAATACTTGTTTGATGCCGACATGACGACGGCGCTGTATGGCTACTAGTGTTATTCGTGCAAACAATCTCAACAAAAACCGACCTGCGGCCATAGCAATGCTACTGCAGAACTTCAAGCGATAGCGATTCCAGCGGCATTCTCTTAAGTGGTATGGCGTTTAATGTTCTGCAGGAGGCAAGGGACCTATCAAGCTCGATCAAGCTTCTAAAAAAATTATAAATGGAAAGAAAGTCAAGCCGCTTGAGCGCTTGCAATGCATCAGCGCCGCACGTTTCAGTCAACATTCCAGCATACGAATACGAGTCGTATGGTCGTTCTGTGATTTGCTACCTTTCAGCGATTAAAACTACTGAATAATGTTATTATCATGGACACTACTACAGTTGCCTAATGCGAACTTTCCTGTCCATCTGTTAACGTTGTACCATCTGGTAATAGGTCGACTGGTCTCACGTAGCAAACGTCATGGCCTCGCACCAATTGTTCTACCGTGACTACCAGCACCCCAAAGAATTCCAACGCAGCTTAGCCACATCTGTTAAATCCGACGTGACAAGTTTTTCCACTGATCATCAATCAACTGATGTATGTGCTTGCAATGGTATCAAGTTTAAATGCCGTGCGACGTCCGTGCCATCCGATGTTTGGACCCAATTACTGCCGTTTCTAACGTGGCAAGACACTAACGCAATGCTCTGCGTATGTAATGAATGGAGAAAAGTGATGACGGAAGCAAAGAAACTTTACCCGGAGTGGCGGTCAACGGTTATAGGCCCGTCGCTCAATGGCTTTGAAAGTCTAGAGCTGCTTAGAGCCAACCACTTGAAGTGGGCTGACACTTGCTTTGCGCCTGACTTGGTACTTCTTTCGGCTGCTAGTAGAGACTCCAGTCCGTGGCATACTGGTGGGTATTGGGAAGAGGCGATTGCAGCAATCGAGGAAGCGAGATTGCTGCCTCCCGGCTGTAGAATTGCTGGGATGTTCACAATGAATGCAGTGTTGGGAACAATCAAGAGAGGTGAGGAAGAACAGGACGAAGCAGCTTTATCAAGTGCCGTAACGTTATCGGTTTCTGTAGTTCATCTGTTGGACACAACAGTGGAGATGGCAGAGTTCGATCGGAAGGATCTAAGAAGGTGTCATCGCGGAATGGAGTTGAGTAACCCGTTCAGTCCGTTAGAAAACGATGTGCCCTCGTTTTTAATGTTTGGAGTAAACGACCACAGTGCAAGTCAGTTGGTAGCAGCGATAGACAAGTGGTACCCTGGAGCGGCAATTGTTGGTGCAATTTCATCACTAAGCGACCGGTGTGTCCCTCTTGTAACGTATTGTGGTGGAATGGCAGCGTGTGCTGACCGGCTGGATCGAAAGAAGAAGAAAGGAACCAAGCAAAAATTTCGACGTCGATCGCAGGCACGAAGCCAAGTTGTATTTCCTTCGACAATGCTTCTTCGTCTACATGGCAAAGTAAGCATTCGGCCATTTTCCTCAAGCGGCTATCAAGCGATTACACCGGTGATTCGATGTGTGCGCTCGAGCATAGTGGAGAAAATGAGTCAAGTTGTGACACACGACCTCGTCGCGATACTCAACCATGAAGGATATGAGGATACCACGCTACATCGCGTCATGGACTTATTGCATCCATCCGAAATACTGGCTATCGAACGTGAAAGCAGAGCCCTCAACATTTTCTCGTGTCAAGACAGTGCGCCACTCAAACATCTTTTCGATTGTTGTAGCGCACACGAGGACAAGACACCGATTTTGGACTCGGTGCAAATCGATCGCTTGGAATGTGTGTTTTGGCTGCAGAACAGCTTAATGTCACTGCCACGTATGGGTTGGCAAGAAGGTTTTTACGGAATCCTTGCCTCGCATCACTCGACGCGGACAGCATTAGCACTTGCAGGAGCCCTTCGAATCACCGAAGAAAAAATGTCTGCGTCGAATGAGCGTGTCCTCGGTGCATTTATGGTTGCCGGAGCTTTAAATGAAGTTGAAGACTTGGCTCACGCAAAGGAGATCAACCAGCTTTGCGCTGGCATGTTGCGCAAGTCCCAGTTTGGTGGATGTGTTGTGAGCATTAGTGTTGGCCCTGTAGCTTTACCTGGAGGTGTCCAGATGTCTGAAGAAAGATACATCGCTCAAGTTCAGACACATACGACATGTGGAGCAGTTTTTTACACGAAGACATGAGCATTGCAAGGCTTACGCAACATAACCTCATACTTAAGTATATGCATGGAACAAAATACAGTCAGTGTGCCTTAAAATTGTCGACTGCAACTAATTCGCGTTCGTCATTCAATACATACCTTCTTGCATCGCCATTCCAAACAGACTTTGCTAACTCAAGCTAGACCACTTTGACCGAATAACTGGCGCATCAGCTTGTCGTCTTTCGCCTTCTCAGCGTCACGTTGCTGTTGCAATCTTTGGAAGATCTCCACCAGGGTCTGGCCCTGTCGGTCAGCAACTCGCTCCAAGTAGGAGCCGTTACCGGTGTCAACGGGAAAGCTGTCTTGAATCTTCTGCATCAAAAACGCATGGTGTTCCTTGCGAGCATCTGCACTATCCTTTCGAAAGCGCTTCACGGCCTCTTCTAGTTTCCTGTTTTGCTTTTGAATAATGTTCGTGATGTACAGCGTTGAAGAAACTTCAGCATCTGCGCCTCTCTTACGCTTACAGGACAATGTCCCTTGGGTACGTGTATCGTCGAATCCGCGGCGAATACAGTTCTTAGATAAATGAGTGGGCCTGTCTTCGTCTGTGTGTACCACCACATGGCGAGACTTCACCACAAGTGGGGCACTCAAATCGCTACCAGCGGACTCCTCCGAAGACGACGACTCTGATGACGACAAATCTGCCTCCCCATCAGATGACTCCTCCAGCTGCATTGATACTTCGCGGATAAAAGCCTTCTTCGGAGCCAAGTGCTTCCTCTTTTTAAAAGCGCACTGCTCAACAACAGACTCGATATTAACGTATCGAGAAGACGCAGCATCATTTGGGGGGCTTATATGTTTTTTTCTTTGTCTCGCACAGCTTTGCGCGCAGCTCAGCATCGATTCCATCAATCAAGTCAAATATGTCTTCGTCAACAATACTCAAACCGTTGAAACTCCGGTATGCCTTACCTATTCTCGATACGATAGGCTCTCGGTCTGCCGCAGTGAGCTCGAACCAGGAAAGGCAATTGGTTTCAGCGGCTTTCTGGTTGTAGAAGTAGATGAACTCGTACGAGTCTAACACGAATCTGGCAAGCCCCACTGCCGCAGACACTGAATTGGTTCCACCTAATTCTTCATAACGACGAAAAAAATGGTCCTTTTCCTCCTCAAATAGATACCGCCGAGTTCGTCGCCCCTCCAGTAATTCACCGCAGGCTTTGCCTAGCATAAGCAGCTCTTCTTTGCTCCAGTTTGCAGCTACGCTCTTTTCGAGCTTCTGCCCACTGTGACCTTTACTATCTTGTTCCTTCGTGTTTTTCCTATCAAACTGAACAGGCGAAATTTGAGGGAGTCTGCCGAATTTGCGTTTACCAACTTTTTCTTGCGTCGCTACTTTCTTCCTCAATAGAATCTGCTCCAACGAATTAAACATGTCTTTAGTAAGATTCACAATCGTTTTGTTGTTCCAACCGCGAATTTTAAGCAACCTCTGCGCCGGAGGCATGTCGAACCATGCCGAGCTGTCGCCTTGCTCTGCGATATAGTTCGAGATACACGTAAATGAAGACTTCAACGCGATCATTTTGTTTCGTACGCTGTTAAGGGTTCGGTTCCGACTGAAGGCACCCTCTAGCTTCGTGAAGAGTGCAAACGTCTCATTCAGCGCAAACGACAGTTTACTACTTTTCGTCAATCTTGATGCTTCTTTCCACGCTTGAATCAGATTCCATATTTCTTCAACAGGCCAATTGTTTCCTTTCTTCGCCGCAGGTACTATTGAGTCATTTTTGCTGGCACGTTTCGCACTACGCTTCGGCATCGAAGACACCGACGATTCGGAATCTGATGACCAAAACGCTTCTGTCCTCTTTCGCGTTGACCGAGGGCGCAGCGAAATGCCATCAGCAGCTGCTTTGATATCAGCAACTTGGATATCAACAATTCCTGTAATATTAGGAACTTCTTTGATATCTGGAACTTCTTTGATATCCGGTGACGACAGAGGCGGATCGACCACCTCCATAAATGAAGTCTCAGTAACTAATGCAAACATCTCGGCATCCAGATCCACGAATTTTACCGGAACGTTCGTACATTGCTGGTATGCTCGCTTTTGCACGGCTGACATATCAAACCAGGACAAACTCTCACCCTCGGAGCGATTGTCGTTGCATTCCTTAATATACGAGTACGATGCAAGAATATGTCGCCACTGTTGCGCCATCGACCTTAGATCTCGCCAAATAGGCGTGTCAGTATTCCCTGCTTTATGTCGGCGAGTCACAAAAGCATCGTATATCAATTCTTCGCGCTCTATAGCTGACTGCTCTTTGTCGCTTGGAACGTTCATCACATCTGCGCACGCCTTAATCAAGTCTGCTGACTCTTCAGTGGTCCATCTTGCCGCTTTTGGAACCTGGTTTACTTCGGATCCTAACACAAAGTCATTGCTTTCCTTGGAGCGCTTAACTTTTTTCTTAACTTTGGATGCTGGAGGTGGGCGGAGACTTCGAACTATTGAAAGCTTTTCATCCAGAGCAAGAATACGTCCCAACCCATCATACATTTCCTTCGTAAGGTCCACCGAGTTGCGGTTTTTCCAGGACCGCAGTAAAGTCATTCGTGTATCTTGCGGGATTTCGTGGTAAGAAGGCTCCCCTTTAGCCTTCTGTGACTCATTAAATGATTGGATGTGAGCATATGAAAACTTTAGTGAGCTCCGACGCGCGGCAAGAGCGGTACTATTTCGCGCCGACGATCCACCTTGCATTTCAACAAACTCGCGATACATCTCTCTGTTGAGGGACAGCCGATTGGAAGGATCGCTACTACACACTAGTATCGCTGCTTTTTCCCACGCGTTAATAAGTATCTGGAGCTCCTTGTTTTCCCACAAATGTCCATTTGGTCCGTCCACATTAATTTTGCGCTTCTTCTTCGCGAATCGTGCCGTATCTGTTGACTTACTAGTCGCCGTTGCGTCAGCAATAGAGTTGCTGTTTTGAAGATGATCGATTTCTGACATGACAGATGTATCCGTGGTGTCTTGATTTGATTTTGTTATGAGTTTTGGAGCCATAGTTTCATGTTCTTCATTCAACGCATAAGCTCCTGTTCTTCCAATCACAAGATGTTCACTATCAGCAGCTTTATCTGTAGTTGCGCAAGATGGTCCTGAAGAATTTGCGGCGGCTGTCTTCATAAAACGCTTCCGATCATCAAATACTAATATTGGCTTGCGATCTCGGTGAAGCACAAGATGTCCTACCCTCTCGGTATGACAATTTACATCAGCAACAGCGGCATATTTATCTGCGTCTACGCAAACCTGCGCAGCCGAGAACCGACTCTGCGCGTGTTGTTTTTGCAAAAAAGACACTGGCGTTGACTGTGCAGTCTTACCAATACTATCAGTAGTCTTAATAGTACGATACATTCCAGTACCTGGCTTAGCAGCTAGCATAGCGCTAATATTGCCGCCGGAAAAATTTGGTATTTGTCTGGCGGGCATGTCGTTAGTTCGAACACGTGAGTGGTTTTGCTGTGTTAGAAGAATATTTTCAGCAATAGAATCGTCAATCTTCTCCTCGCTGTCAATCTCCGTGCAGTTTGAAGCACCTATCCTCGGTACAACTGCTTTCTCTTCTTCGCTACCATCGGCAACACTATGTGGCTGCAAGGGAAAAATGCCACCAGTTTCTTTGTCGTGGCTGGCGAGTACCAACTTCAAGGATTTCTGCGTTTTCGGTGGTCTTCCTGGTTTTCCTAGTCTCCGTTCAGCATGCCCGCTCTCTGAGTTCGATGTGCTACTCGTTTTCGCTCGACGCACATCTTCAAGTGCAACAGCTTGGGCATCTAACGGGATCACGTTGTGCAATTCCGAGTAGATCTCTGCTGATAGATCTAACAGATTTGCGTTCTTCCAGGACCTTATCAAGCTTTGTCTAGTCGTTGCGGGTAGCTCTACAAACTTGGGATCTCCATTCATATCCTGAATCTTATCAAAGGCTGAGATCCTTGAGTACGACTGCTTCAGCACTCGACGCCGCGTAGCTAAACCTGACAAATTGCGACTAATCTTACCCCCCTGTAAGTTTTCAAATTGTCGATACATTTCATGAACAATGGACATGGGTTTTCCCGTTGGACTTTGACAGACTAATTGGACAGCTATACCCCAAGCTTGAATTAACTGCATCATTTCATCCAATGACCATGAGTTGTTGGTCTTATTATTCCGAGCCATTCTCACTTCCCGTGTTTTCTTTTTATCATCTGTGCTTATTTTAGCACCAGGTGAATGACTGGAGATCGAATATGAAGGAGAAAAACCTGAAGAAGCCCTTGTTGGTCTTGTTTCCATCTTGTGTGTATCTTTCATTTCCTCCTGTTGTTCCTTCTTTCTTCCTAATTGAAGCGATAAATGTGGTTTGTTTTCACTATTTTTCTTCGTGACAATACGTTCCAGTGCTTGAAACATCATGGGTGTAATCTCAATCACACTGGAATTGATTTTCTTCCACTGAGTCATCACTTCCGATCGTTCATGCTCGGAGAGCTCAAAAAAGACGTTTTTGTGTTTTAATTTCTGTACGGCATTAAAATCACGCACAAAAATGTACGAGAATTTTAATGCACTACGTTTACTCGTAAGTGCCGCTTTGTTACGACGTGTTGAACCCCCACGAAGTGCTACAAAGTTTTTATAGACTGCATCATGTAATGTTTCGACTTGACTATCACGTTGACGAGATATAACCATTTCCCATGCAATTACTAAGTCACGAAACTCTTCAAGCGTCCAGACATTCACATGCGACGTCCCAGAGTCTTCGCTACTTGGCATGGCGTGACTTTCTTCTTTCCTTGCTTGCTTGCTTCTTTCTTCCTTGCTTCTTTCCTCTTCTATATAAAATATAGTATATAAGACGTTGGTTGCCTTTGGGTTTTATAAGATACGGGCCGGGTGAATAAGTCAACTACTGACCCGGGTTTGGTATATTTCTTACGTTACAATTGTTTTTATTCTCATTAATATGATATTCTTCTTGAAAGGTTCACGTACTGCGATTGTTCTTATAAAGAGACCAGTCATGACTCCCCCCTCCCTTTCCCTTTTTCATTTGTTTTCATACTATTTGGTGTGATCCTATATAATAAAACAAGTACGAACTCATTCAAGTCTTTTGACGTGGCATCTTCACAGTAGCCGTCATGTCGTCCTCAATCTCACAGTTCTACATCTTATCAACACGAGGTGATACCATCATCTTTTCAGATTTTCGGGGGGATGTTGAGAGTAATTCAGCCGAAATTTTCTTTCGTAAGGTGAAATTCTGGGAAAAAGGTGACGCACCGCCAACGTTTCATGTGGATGGTGTGAATTACTTGTTTGTAAAGAAGAATGGACTCTATTTCGTAGCAACAACACGATATAATGTGAGTCCGAGTTATATTTTAGAGCTCTTGACACGTCTTTGTCGTGTGTTTAAAGATTATTGTGGCGTACTGAGCGAAGAGACACTACGCAAGAATTTTATTCTCTGCTATGAGCTGTTAGATGAGACATTGGACTATGGTTTTGCCCAAGATACGAGCACAGAAGGACTTAAAGTACATGTACACAATGAAGCTATTCTTGTGGGTGATGCTGCATTGTCAAAGCCTAAGGCTAGCTCTAAGTTTATGAACCGGAGCTCCAATATTAAGGCGGCCAGTGCAGTTAAGAAACCGGTTGCGACGGCCGGTCAAAGCTCAAAGAAACAGGATGAAAACGAGCTGTTTTGTGACATTTTGGAGCGACTTAACGTTGTCTTTTCCTCGGGAGGACAGATGCTTAATGCTTCCATTGAAGGACGCATCCAGCTGAAGAGCTATTTGTCGGGTAACCCGGAGCTTCGACTGGCGCTAAATGAGGATATGGTCATTGGAAACACGGGAGCTAGACAATACGGACAGGTGGTGCTGGACGACTGCAATTTCCACGACTGCGTGCAACTGGACGAGTTTGAGCGCGATCGCGTGCTGATTTTCCAGCCACCAGACGGCGAATTCACCGTCATTAACTATCGCATCACTGGCGATTTCCGGGCACCGTTCCGTATTTTTCCCTTTGTGGAAGAACTGTCACCGATTAAGGTTGAAATGATGCTCAAGATCCGAGCCGATATGCCCGAGAACAACTACGGTGCGAATGTGATTATCCGGTTTCCAGTGCCACAGTCGACGGTGGCAGTGTCGTGTGATATTGGCAAGAGCGCCGGACAGCTGGCAGAGTACCGCGAGAACGAGAACCAGGTCCGTTGGGCCATCAAGCGCTTCACCGGCGGCACAGAACTTACATTGCGCGCCAAGATCACGCTGGGCCAGCCAAGCCCGCACGTGCGGCGTGAGATCGGCCCCGTCAGCATGAATTTTGAGATCCCTATGTACAATACCTCGAGTCTGCAAGTGCGCTACCTGCGCATTCCAGAGCACGCACGCCACCCAAACTACACGTACAAGCGATGGGTGCGCTATGTGACGCAATCCAGTTCTTATGTGTGCAGGATCTAGTCTCGTTGCGCTTGAGCGCAGCAGTAAACAAGACAGCAAGGGATCCCTGAACGGACATATGAGCAAAGTACAAACACACAGCAAAGGAAGCACGGACATAGTGCGTTAGGTAGGTAGCCCAGCAGCGGGAATCTTAGACACCGTTTGGCGTATGGAGGAGGCCTCGTGTGTTATCGCCTCTTGTCGTCAAAAGCATCGTCATGGGACGGCATGATACTGATTAAGCGCCTCGAGAAAGGAATTGCTTATTTGTGTTTGTTGCTTGCTAGGAGTCAAAACTCCACATCCTCATCATCTATTCATACTATCCGTCTCTATATCATGCATAAGAGACGTTTGTTTGCCTGTAGTCTTCGTATTCGCAACAAGATGGTGGTCAAAGTAGAGTGACCTGTCCTCTGAGCTAGCAATCGTGCGATTCCTCAAGCGTCTGTCAGCTTTACTGCTTGTCATCTTTCTTAAGCTTGTCAGTCTCCGTAGCCTGTCCGCTGAGCTCGAGTGCCGTCTGAGTAAGATCACGCAGAATATCGCAGATCCGCTTGTGGTTGAATACGCGTGTATTGTAGCGGTCCTCAGCAATCTTGATCATTTTCTTATTGGCATTGTAACGCGGACCTGCAAGCTGCACGACCAGGTCTTTGGCCTCTTTGTTCAAACCTTTGAAGCACGTCATAGGCACCTCCATGATTACCTTTGTGTCATACGTATTCTTGTCGTCGATGAAGAGCCGCTCGTCAAAGTCCTCGAGCGGGCAATTGAGTGTCATTTTGATCGGGGCACCATCAAAAAGTGGGTGGATCTGCTTCTGCCACGATAAGTCTAGGAACGGTGTAAAGTCTGCAAAGATCTGTAATTTCTCTACCTCGTGTTTCATCTCATTGTCAAAATCTGACGGGTAATCAACGTCCCAATACGACGGGTATTCAAACTTTTCAAGTGGCATCGTTTGCTCCTCATCTTTGCCCGAGAACTGGAATGTTTTCTTCTTGCGAAATTTTGGCACGGTAAATGATGATGATGAAGATATGGTTGACTCGTCTGATGTTGCTAGATAGCGTGGGGCGTATTGTCGACGTAATAGGACGCCTGTTGTTCGTGTCAAATATCTTGCCATCATCGTAACGTACGGATGGATGATTTGAGCCACAGATTTACAATACCTGTGCAAGATGATACTTTGTTGATAAAATCCTGTAAGGAATGATTTCAATACTATTTTACTTTTGTATGATTTTATATCTCGAAGGCATAAAGGCGATGGCTGGGGTCCTGTCATACAATGGACACGCAGTACTCGCCAATGTCCTGTGCAATACAAAAGGCAGAATATGCGGCTAGAGAGAATGAGAGATTGACGGGGGTCTTGGAGAGGGCGATTGGATCAATAGTCGACTGGAAAGACGGGGGAGTTTGTCGCCCCCAATGCTAGCGTTCTCCTCTCCGTTGGGAAAACCCAATGGACGAGTAACACCGGGATCACGGGATCCATGATCATTTCACCCACAAGGTGAAGAAGGTATATGGCCTCTTCTCTCTCACGTCGTTTCATTCTATAAAACGACGACCTTATTATGACCGTTTTGCTGCTGGTCGACACTTATCCTACGTTGGCTTAAGTCATGCCCGGAGGAATTAACACCACCAACATACTACGCTATGTGTGTTTTGTGTATATATCTGTGTTACAACTAGAGTGTATGTAGTCTGAAACGGGCTAAGACTTGCTACAATTGATTGATAAAAGTATTTACTGCTCTTATATTGTCATTACAAGCTGCATGTTGTAAGAAAAAAAGCAAGCAAAGTATCATTATGGTGGGTTGGATAGCTCTTAGATGGTATGTTTGCGGATAATATGGATTGATGAAAGATCCGCAACAAATGTGTAGGAATTAATTTACTGACTATTTCTAAAAGATGAAATATTTTTTACTTTCTCATGCTTTTTGTTTTTCTTACGGACATTTGCATGGCAAAAGATGTGTACCGGTATACCGGCTTGCTACATACCGCCAATTCTTTTTTATCAATTATTTCAACTTAGTGACATGTCCATTTTATCAAAAGCCACGAAAATGGCTCCTTCCTCTTGTCCGCTCTTATTGGAAAGCCGTGCGCTTATTGACTCATTGGGCTATGTCGACACGGAATATAATGTATTATCGAGTCAACGGCAGGTTCAAGCTCAGATCCGTGCTGAGATGGCTACATTTACGCCTCCAGAGGACAAGTATCTGACCTTTTTGCCGTCCTACACGCCGTCTTTTGGTGGTAGAACCCGATTGCAGACTGAGTTTAAGCGCGTAGCGGCGAAAGTCCCGCTAGACGCTATTGATATGAACCGGTACCAGGTTATGAAACCTACGGGTAAAATTGCAGAGAATTTGGAGGCATGGGAACAAGCGGTCGAGCAACTCCAAGTGGCAATTGAGCATCAGAGCTATTGGGTGCTAAATCTGGAACTACAGCAGGGCTACGGCACGAAACTAGCCAAGGTACGGGCAGCTGTGCTCGACGGTATGAATAGTCAGTACGAGCATTTGGTACAGGAGACAAAAGTGACGTCGGATAAAATCAACTTGGGCAGGCAGCAGGAGCAGTTGCGTAACCTTACCAAGCTGCATAATTACCAGACCAGGTACTATGAGCTGCTTGTAAAGAACGCGTCAATTAAGCGAGCGTGCGTGGAACAGGAGGTGCAACAACAGAAGAAGAAGGCTAAGACAACGTGAGCGAATGCCATTTTGCAGGCTCATAAGGCCTTCATATTTCTTCACTCGTCCAGTCTTCTCTCTCTTCTTTTGCATGTTGTTTCGATCATATTACGATTTTAAGCAAGAGTAAAGACAAAAATGAAAAAAAGTGTGCAACCCTGATCGAAAGTGATAACGGTGAGGCAACCTAGAGGTACCGCCGGGCTCCAAGCCAGTCGCGCTTTCCACTCGTCACTCTAAAACGCCATTGCCGTTGCGCTTGAAAGTTATGTCGTCGATGCTGTTGCACCTGAAGGTGGTAGCTCCGTCGTCGTTGCGGAAGCTTCCGTCGTCGCAGCAGCTGGAGCGGCTTTCGGAACTGTTGCAGATGCTGCCGTCGTCGCAGCAGCTGGAGCGGCTTTCGGAACTGTTGCAGATGCTGCCGTCGTCGCAGCAGCGGCCGCGGAATCTGGAATTGTTGCAGACGCTGCCGTCGTGGTTGACGTGGAACTACTCAAGTCACCATCAATTGAGCCCGCTGTAATCGTAGCGCTTCCACTACCAGACGTCAACGATGTCATGATCGTTGTTTTCGAAAAGCAAGGAAAGTCACCAGTGCCTCTTAGGTTCTGCAGAGCAGTAGCAAAATCAGTATGGAACTTCTCCCACGTCGAGTCGGTGTATAACCCATATTGCCATGGATCGTCGGGCTTGTACTCGTCGTTGAAGTCAAACGCTCCATCAGGGTTCGCGGCCCATGCAAAGCCACCAGACATGTTCATTTTATTTGCGTACTCGATAAGCACATCAATAGTACGCGTGCTTGTCATACCCTCCAGCAGCTCCGCTGCGCCGTAAATACCCCCAAATTCACCAAAGAACGTCGGTACACCAACCTCCGTCACGGCATTGCCGAAGGCATTGTCCAGCACAGAAGTCACGGCATTCTGCAGCAGTTTGTTGCCTTCATCCGTGTTCGGGTACTCGGTCACCGACACCGTGTCGCCGCTCGAGGACTGTTTTTTAAAAAAGTACCCTGACGGGTATACACTCGGCGAGTAAAAGTGCGGCGCAAACACGAGCTTGCCTTTCATGTCGAGAACTATAGGGTTCGCACTGGCGTTCTGCAGACTAGCGCCATACCAATCGTTATACGTCACGTTCTCACCGTTGATCTCCGTCACGGTGTTGACCGCGTAGGTTCCCTCCGCCACGATGAGCCAGTTCGGGCAAATGGCCAGAATCTTGTTGCCAATGGTCTCCACAGCACGAGGCCAATTAATTTCTGAGTCGCAGTAGACATCACTATCATTTTCAGGCCAGCAGCCGCCCACAGGCTCATTTTTGAGATCAATGCCAATGATATTGTACTCAAGGTCGCTGCACAGCTCCATGGCCAACGTCTCAAACATTTTGTAAATGGTCGCAATCGGATAGTCATCAGTAAACCACAGGTGCTCGGACGTGTCATCCGTGAATTTAGGGTCAATCTTGTGAATGTCAAGCAACACGCCAATCTGCTGCTTGCCCAGGCCCTGTACAACCTTCTTAATCATATCAATGTACGTAACAACGTTCAGGTCCGTGTCTAGACTGTTAACAAATAGCCTCGTATTAGGTTCCGAGTTGTCAATAATCATCTGCGCGTTAAGCGGCAGACGCACTGCATTAAAACCACTGTCCGATAAATTGGCCGCAATATCGTCCAAATAGCTCTGTTTAGTGGCAAGGCCGTGGGGAACACCCTCTACATTTTCCATACCACTCCAATTGATACCTGTAAACACAATCTGCTTCTTGTCGCCCGTCTTGCTGTTCTTGGCGTAGATTTTGCCGTCCAATGTGACGTAATCCGGCAGCAAGCAACTCTTGACGCTGATGCTCTTTCTGGCTCTGTTCACCTCTGTCACAGACTCGGTTAGTGACTGTTGCGTCTGTGCGCTGTGAAACAATTCTACTCCAAAGTAAGCAATAAGAGTGAGCGCTGCAGTCGTTACAAGTAGTAGAAATACGGCACCAGGCCAGACCACTTTACGGCCCGTATACGTCTTATGCGGACCTCCAGTGCTACTGGCTCTTCCCGTATCATCCAATTGTCCCACTGAAATATCATGATGGATAGTTGTACTAGGACGCATGGTCATAGTAGGACGCATCATAGGGACATCACTAGCATTGTCATTGGCGCCAGGACCAAGATAACTGCCGTATATTTCCTCCTCAGACGTGTCCCTCCACACATTTGATTGCGTACGTTCACCAGCATTAGCCCCAATGTACATAGTAACCTTTCTACAACTAAGATATCGATATATATATATTAAAACTAATCAAATCAATCTACTACTTATTAGTATATTTATTACTATTAGACGTAAGAGTGACCAGATGAACGAAGATAAGGGAATGAATACTCTCAACGTTACGATCCTCTCTACCCACGATAAAAAAGTATTTAATGACTCTATATGATTGGTGTATATAAAAGAATTCGTGTGTGATTGGTGTGCTCGACGCACGTCATTATATAGTCAGTGCAACGATTAGAAATACATCGTGTTTGTTTCTTTCTTTATCGTGTCTGAATGTTGATTTGTATGTAAATATTACTTGGTAATATAAAAAAGCTTAGTTGATCCAGCATGATCAAGTCAGAAATACCTACCATCAGCAACCTGAATGAATAGATTGTGTCTTTAAATATCGTAACTCGCTGTGTGCTTTCCTCCAGTGACGTCAAGGTGTCGCCACAATGGTGACGCAGCAATGCGCAACTCAATAGTTGAAACAACTATTTCTTGCATGGCAAACGCCATCTCCTCCTTTTTCACACCTTTTCATACCAAGTTAAGTCAATTTGGCTCTAAAACGATCAAGAAGGTCACGCTTTTTATATCCTTAAACGCTGTCGCCACTTGTGATGATCTTTGTCTTTCTAATACCTCAGATGGCAGTGAGTGATCGATGTTCATCGAGATGCTGTAAAGATCAAATTCAGCCGTGAACGACAAAAGCAAAACATTGTTGGCTGCATTTAAAAAGGCTACTGCATCATGCTCGCAGGGAAAACGATCTGATTAGTAAAGGTGTGTAGTATGCATTGACTGATGCAGCACTCATCCTCCATGCACTGCGATCCACACTTGCATCGACAGCTTGAGCGAGGGGTACATACTGATCGGTGTAAATCAAATTAACGTTGGCAAAAAAAGCAGCGGGGTCTAGTTTTGCCAAACCTTGGGCTTCTATCTCTAGCTACACGACATTAGGCTGAACGCACATAATGTCAAGAGCGTTAAGCTTTGCTAACGCGCTTCCTCGTGTTTTTTCGTCCAGCCATTCAAGTGTCTTGATGTCGATGGACATGGCGTTCAATACTTTGTCAAGCATAGCAATGAACGTGTCTCCAGTTTCCTTTATGTCGTCGCAATGTGCTGTATAAGCAGCGCCTGCGTGAGCTGGAAGCAGTTTGACGATACTACTTGCACAGACCTTTTCCAAAAAAAGCTGAGCTTTTGCTCCTAACACAGCTCCACGGATAAATTTAAAGGGCATCAACGAACGGCTCACTTCGAAATCCCGCAAGAGCATTGATTTAGGTGGAAGCACCATACACTTTGAGTGCATCTAACGAGACAAGTAACACAAGCTTCTTAGCCTTTTCAAAGTACGCAATACTCAAAAGTGTGACTTGAATTTCTTCATCAGACCTAATGCATTATCATGGAGCCGCATGCTTTCTTCGTGTGCACCGAACACAAAAGTAGAGTTCTCTGCTGCCTCTTTGTACATGACTATATAGAAAATACTTGCGCTTACAGGGTCCACCTGCGTATATAGCTGCAGCTCAATGAGCTGCTTTTTGACACGAAGTGCGACGTCTCCGTATTTCTCCCTGTGTCCAATCGAAACCCCATTAGATTTAAAATCGTATCGACATACCAAGACAATTTCTTTTCCACGTTCTCATGTACTTCTGATTGTTTGTAGTACTCGTCATCCAGCGTCAAGTTGGCATGAGTCACTCATAGAACATTGTGACTTCCGTTCTGCAGACTGGAATCGGGCGAGAGTTTTGTGATGAACTCTACGCTTGTGCGTGCAATTGGGAGTGAAATGCTGCGCCTGTGCGTGTGAGAGGTCCTGCAACTTGCAAAAGGTCTTGTTTGTTCTGAAACTTCATATACTCTCTCCACGCCATCTTTTAGAGGTTGTAAGTCTGATTGCATTGCGTGCGTCTATGTTCATTCAAGACGCGTAAAGCACTCCTACCAACGACGTCGAGTTGTTGGCAATAGCTCGTACAATCGTCGCATTTACTGCTTTCTGCGCCATATCGAATAAATAATCACCATGGACTTCACCAATGCGATTTCGTGTGTTGCAAGTCATGTGCCGCAAAAAATGGTAAAATCGTCGCAAGGGTCGGCCGGCGAGTTAACGAGGGACGCAGCAGTAGCTGAGAGTGCTTGGAGACAGCAAGTGCCGGTAATTGAAGCAAACCAACTCCCCGACAACAGAAAATCGTGTCATGAGAATACGTTGAGGCAGAAAATGCTGAATGAAATGGGAAAGCAGAACGCAACAGGCAGCAGCTTACAAAGCTGCTAGGTACTCAACGACTTTTGACTTGTTTGCATAGAAATCAAAGATCAAGCGACTGTAAGATGAGACTTAATAATAAATTTCTACCTGCTTGTACAACGAAGCGTGACGTATTTTAATACACTTGAGAGATCGAATACATGTGTACAACAATATATCAGTGCAGTAGTCAAGATATGATCATGTATGCGAGCAAGTGGTGGATTTGCACAACAAGTTCTATGACCCTATATCATATTCTTTGGTTCTATTGATGAGCTCTTAAAGCTGTAGAGAATATGAACACCAAAATAGCTCACTAACTCCCCTCCCCATCCGGTAGATTGATTCTACTTCTTCTATCAACATCACTACGTCATCTATCCAGATCGTAAGTAGTAAAACGGCCGATTGCATCACAGCTGGTCCATTTTGCATATTGAGCGCGCGTGTGTGTCTCGTATTTTGTATAACTTCCAACTACATTCTTAACTCATCAAAGAGACCATTACTAGAACTATAAAGTATCTGATCACTAAGCTAAATGGGTTTCATCCTCCGATCATCTCCTTGACAAAGCTAATAAAAAGATATGTGTGGCTTATGACATATATATCTCGTTCGAGGTATCTCTTTATAGTTACAGATATAGTTACACATATAGTTGCTATAGCTATACTACAGTGAAGTATGATTGGTTGAAAAGATACCATACATTTTGGTTGGTGAGCCATTATCGGTTGTCATGGCTTCGCCGTCATCTCCTGCCATAAGTGGAGACACTTTGTCCAGTGCTACAGAGCCTCGTTTGCCTTTCATCATTTATGAGGGTGATACGGTCATTTGTCAGACTAGCGATGGTCGTATGTTCTTCCAGACCGTCAACAAAGACGAGTCCGTTTACTACATAAAAAAACTGGCTAGTGATTGGAATGTCAAGTTAGAACTCACTTTTTTCTTGCTTTGATTACCTCATTCTAGGTCCATCCGAGTTGGCAAGAAAGTATCAGGACTAAAACCTGTCATTGGTTCTTATTATGGGTAGTCACAACATAATAATACGGAGGTTATGAGTGATGTTAGAAATCGCTAAGTAATCGACTGTTTATATGATGGTCTATACTTTAGAGCAATCTTTGAAGAACAGAATCAAAAGTTGGTCAAGGTAACAGGTGGATTATTCCCGGGATCCAGTGGCTCCAGGTAAAAAAGATTGCTTGTATTTGTATCTGTAGACTCGAATTTTTGGTATTCTATAGAGATATTTGACTTGTTTCTGCTATCATCTTGTTTGTTGCTACAGAAGCTGGAGAAGACTTCGTGCCTTGTGGAGACAACCGACACTATGCAGACACCAATTCAGCTCAGACTTTGAAACAGACCGACATTGGCGTGTTGCGTGAGAAGGGCGCGTCTGGGCAAGAGATTATTCAGAAGCTGGTGGAAAACAGTTCTACTTGGAAGACAAAAAATGAATTTTCTAAGCAGAAATACCTCAAGAAAAAGCAGCAAAAATACATGCCGCGTGTGCGCTTCTTGCGTTGCACGGCTGAGTCGCTCTGTCGCACTTACCGGTTGAAAAATCCCGCTAAAATTTGCAATTTGCGAGAGGACTCGCTGGGGCAAATTCTGGTGTACGGCAACATTTTTGCAGGTGGACAGGTGCTCGTGGTAGACACCTGCATGGGTTTGGTCGCTGGCGCAATCGCTGAGCGTCAGGGAGGTTCCGGACGCATCATTTGTCCGTACGATGGTCAGCAGCCTGCTGCCGATATCCTGCGACGTTTTAACTTTGGTACAATCTCATTCCAGTGTATGACTAGGCCGTTTGTTATCAGGCCTTGCTTGCTAACGTGTTTCATTGTTGTGTGCAGACAAGCGCACGCTGGAGTCCATCCACTACATGCCGTTCAAGCAAGTGCGTTTGCTTGAGTTGGTACGCACAGCTTGCTTCTGTTCTTGGCAGGTTGTACATAGCTGACACGACAATCTTATCCGACCCCTTTTATGCAGACAGAAGAAGAAGTGGTGGAGCCTCCGAAAGTAGCTAGGGACGGTTTGACATCGGAAGAGAGGGAACGTCTCGAAGCGGAACGTGCAAAAATGTTTACACCGGTGCAGCAGAAGCGATACGCTGAAAAGAAGGCACGTCGTGAGGAGACCAAGATTTTTCGTCAGAAACCATCGACAATACGCCAGTGGGCTCGTGATCAGTGCGATAGCCTGGTAATCGCGTCAAATTACGATCCAGAGGAGGTTTTAATGGCTTTGTTGCCGTACTTGGGCCGATCAAAGCCATTTGTCGTCTACTCTGAATTCCTCGAGGTGAGTATGTATTTGTCTATCTTGACTACAAGTAGCATTAATCGATCGTCCAATGTTGCGTGTCTCCCATTTTTCATGCTAGCCCTTGACCCGGACTTTTGCTAGACTTCAGAAGATGGAAGCCGTCATTGATCTTCAGCTGAACGAGACATGGACCCGGGAGAACCAGGTGTTGCCAGGTCGAACTCACCCAGAGATGAATATGAGCGCTTGCAGTGGTTATTTACTATGGGGAATCAAGATTCTTGACGTTCCGCCTCTAGGAGGTTTGCGTAGCATTTCTGAACAAGCAAAGCAAGATAATACGGAATCCAATGGATCTTCAGCACTGAAAAAGCTGAGAACGGAGGCCAGCCAATCAACGTCACGCGCTTGACGAGAAAAACAAGCTAGAAATCTGTGTATTGGAATCAGTATGACACACGACGACTCGCTACTACATGAATTCAGCGAGCCATAAGCAACCATCAGCGCATATTTACCTGTAAATGACGCACTTGTGGCCATTGACAGATTAATTTTTCACTTTATTGACGAGCGTCTTGCTTCCAAATTATTAGACCGATGACATTACAATATATTTTCGATGGATATATTGGCGTATAATCTGCTGCGTTTTTTTGATTTTTGGCGTTTTTTTAATTTTTGGCGTTTTTTTAATTTTTGGCGTTTTTTATGAATGAATTGCTCTTAAAGCGCAACTTTTTGCTCCAGCCTATTTTTCTAAACGCAAACCAAGTTTCTAAAGCTTAATTTCTACTGTCAAAAAACATGAAAAGCTCTGTGCAGGTAGCAGCACGTCGGACATCGACGCTTGTTCGCTACGCCTCGATGTCATCGAAGCAACCGGGACGTGTGGTTGTCATTACTTCTGGTAAAGGAGGTGTGGGTAAGACCACTGTTACGGCATCAATGGGCTATGGCTTGGCACAGCGAGGTTTTCGGACGTGCCTCATTGATTTTGACATTGGACTACGCAATTTGGACTTGCATTTGGTACGTAGCGTTAGCTCCATACGTTGTAAAAGGTAAATGACAAGTGTCTAATCTTTTACGCTGATTCGATGTTGTTTCGGCTCGTCTTTGTTAAAATTAACATAGGGCTGTGAACGGCGTGTCATTTTTGACTTTATCCACGTGATTGAGAAGAACTGCCGCTTAAATCAGGCCCTGATTAAAGATAAGAGGCTTGACAAACTTTCATTACTGGCTGCTAGTCAAACTCGGGATAAAGAGGCTTTGACGGAGGAGGGCGTGGAGGAAGTTTTGAATGAGCTTAAGGCTCAATTCGACTTTATTCTGTGTGACTCACCAGCTGGCATCGAATCGGGGGCACGTCATGCCATGTACTTTGCTGATGATGCTATTCTCGTAACTAATCCAGAAATTTCAAGCTGTCGCGACTCGGATAAGATGATTGGTTTTATTGCTAGCAAGTCACTACGAGCTAAGGAGGGCCGTAACCCTGTAAACCAGCGGCTGCTTGTCAACCGTTATGATGCCAAACGTGTAAAAAACGATGACTGTCTCTCTGTTGACGATATTGAAGAGATGCTCGGGCTTCCGGTTTGTGGCGTGATTCCCGAGAGTGCGCACGTGCTTACGTCTTCCAACATGGGCCAGCCTGTGATTACAGCCGAACGAGAAAATGCCGCCATTGCGCTTAAAGACGCAGTGGCCCGCTTCTTGGGCGAGAAACGTGATATGAGGTTTTTACAGCCTGAAGCACCCAAAGGACTGTTCAGTCGAATTTTTTCCTAGGTGTCACGAAGGTTAAGGTCGATCAAATTTGAGCCAAAAGCGCTATATATCTTTAAATGAGTGGATTGTTTGGTGACGTTATCCTATTCAGTGCAGCACCAGGTGTCCACGCGGTATTAAGGCTGCTCAAGACATTTACCTCCATACCAAATGGTTTTGACTTTTTGTCCACAACCACTATTTGGCCTTGTCTTGGGAACGCGATTAATATCAATGGCAGGGTAGCAAGTAGCAGCAATGCCTCAGGCGCGGTCATTTGGTTCTGGATGCCCTAGACGTAGCAACAAAACTTTTGCGAGTTGACCCTAACGAAGCGTGTCCCAAACCACCAACTGAAAGTGAAAACCAACATCTTGTGACATTCTGTACGAAACACCAGTCATTCATGCAAGCAGTGACAGTAAGTGTAGCGAGAACTCAAGTGTTTGATAGCCGCCGAAATAGTATGCCTGAAATGCAACTTTAACGCCGACGCTGGTAATCCAGAAGAAGCACAAGTATCTAAGAATGAAACGATGATTTGCGTGGAGGCCTTCGGGTGGCAGACGCAACAAGATCATGTCAGCGAGAATGGCACTTATCACAGTGACAAAATCACAAACAGGCTTTCCCAAAAGTAAATGATCTTTTCTATCCGGAAGCGATCCCAGCACATTATCAGCTACATGTCCGACCCAACTGATTTCGTTATCGCCCTCGTGAACTGGAAAAATAGTGGAGGCCACACCGATGTCATGAAATTTGTCGGTCGCTTCAGCAAGACTCTTTTGCTAGCAAGGTAGTGCAAGAAAAGCATCGACGCCAATTTGTGATGAGCCTTAACGCAGCTCTGGCTATTTCAGTGACTGTCCGTCTTTCGAAGGGTGTTCATTCAACGCAACTACCTCAGCAACAATATTGTAAGCCGGGTATCTGCTGTGTACGATCAATGTAATCGTTCATAGCCGGTAAATTTTACCCTTCCACCAAGGAGACATATCCGATGTGAATAAGATATCGATCATTTAGCTGTTTTAGTCTTCGTGTTGGTGGCAGCTGCCAGTTTCCATTCTGACAATGAGATGTGAATCTCCCTGACAATTGAACAGCAGTCTTAGTGTCATAACTTTGGGCTTTCCAGCTTTATGTTTTACCACCCTTCTACACCCTTGCCTGGTATAGAGTTTCAATGGGGTTTTGTACTTCTTGCTGAACACGTTCATGTGGTTGATGGTGACTGAGCCGCTCATGCATGTTATTGGCACCGCTTTTCTCGCATATCGTCAACAATATTGCACTGGGTTTGGTACGTGCGACAACTCATGATTGCGAAGATTTAATGCTACGCCCCCGATTTTTGTGTCTGGTCTGCTACATCTCCTCTTGCACAACTTGGCGTATTCGAACAGCTTCAGCAAAAATACGAACAAACAAGTCGTTGTATACGCTACGGTGGGACTTGAACAGCCAAAGCGGTGATAAGGCAATCAAATCTAGATGGTATCGACATGTCATACGTCATCGGGCTAGAGCTTTTAACTCTTTCAAAATTCCACAACTTCACACCTGTCATCATTAAACGCAAGGTAGACAGACATCCAATATGGTGACCACTTGGACCATTGGTTTGATTGTTCATCAAATACACTGACCGTTCGATTATGTATGTACTTGTCTGTTTAGGCGCAATCTTATTCATTATCGTAAAAAACTTGCATCTACCATACTTTGTATGCTCTATGTAGTCATTTCAATGCGATAACGAAGTACTACAAAGCCATAGCAGTACCTCATGCATCAAATGGCTTTTAATATCACAAAATAGAGTATGATCGAAATCATAGTCTCGCAAGCAATTCAGCGGACTGATGCGTCGTCTATCAATGCAGCATTTGCTGTAAAGCAGATGCAACGCAGCTTGCCAAACACACGAAATTATCACAAAAGTGTATATCTTCTGTGAGAGGACAACAGGCCTATAAATAATGTACGCTTAAGCATGGTAGAAAATGTATTGATTGTTGATCATAACTTGGTAATACTCTTAGCTTGCATAGTAGTGTTAATGTTAGAGGTACCAATTTCCCATTAGGTTGTTGCATCCGTACCATATGCTCAAAACTACTTAAAACACCCGCATCGCCTATCCATGCTTCCAGCTAGCCAAAGTAGCGCGTTAGTGCCAAGTATTCGTCAGTTACGTCCAGGGTGCGTTCTTATCCTTTTTTGAGAGGGTTTCGCCATCGATCGATTCCACTGAGCAGCTAGTCTTTCGTTGAATTTTTGTCAATTCGTATTCTGGTAGCACTGCCGTTATTACCTGCATGTGCCTCTCATTATAATAGTCCAGCGCTATACCGAATTGGACTCGAAAGTCTTTAGGTAATAACTTCAAATATGTAGGAGCTGCCTCGAGATACATATTCACTAGCTTGTCTGGACTATGGAACGCTCCCAATATATAGCGAGCTGTTGATTTATGTACCGTCCTTCCAATTCCCTTCAACACGTTCTCTTTGTTCTTGTTCAACGTTGCTACATACCTCAGCCAGAGATAGAAATATAGTTTTTCAAAAACATTGACCCTGGTCTGGTCGAGACCGAAAAGTTTGAAAAGAGCCGCCAAAAATGTCTTTCCTTCATCCAATGTTGCTCTAGCCCAATTAGCAAATCAAATGAGTATCCTACATACGGATTATCCCACCCAAATGAGAAAGCAGAATTTCCAGTTCGGCCTGATTGCGTTTGCAATAGATGTGTATATAATCCAACCAGAAGTCCATGCATGTTTTAGCATTATCAGGGTCGAGTTCGTCAAGCTCCAACATCTTGCCAAATGTTCCATTGCAGAACGAAAATAATCCGCAACGTGGTCTGGTCCAAAGTTACTTGCAAGGGTCCAAATAAGCGTCGTTTGGCTATTTGGATGATTTCTATTGTAGCGGTCCATGTATGTTATTCATTCAAAAAAATCTGATGTAGTCAGAAGTTCAGTTTTTTTCGCTCAACCCAAACAGCTTAAAAGCATCGTCCGATGTTATGCCCTAAAATGTAATTCTGCACACGGTCGACGATTTCGTTCGGTGCTGGCGCAGGACCCACATTTCCAGCTGCTGTGTGATGACCTCTTGGTCATAGGTGGTGAGTGTGTCAGCGATCGAGGTTTGACGATCGGGGTACGCTTGATTGTAATGTTGCACGTAGTCAATCCAATACAGATACTTTGGGTCCCGCAGACGTCAACCGTTTTCTCGTGCGGCTTCAATAACCTTTTCAAAGCGTCCTTAGGCGTTATTTTAGCATCCAGCCACTTCTTTTGCTTCTCATTTGATCTTGAATTGTAACCCTTGTTCAAACTTTCCATGATAGATCCAAAGTAGTGAATAAGGGCATCGAAGAATGTACTGCCTGAGTTTCTTTCCCTGTGGTCTTTCACATACGAAGGTCAATGATTCAAGTTTGGGTCTTCAAGAAACTTTATTATCACGCCGTCAAAATTTTTACTCACAGCCTCTTTCGTTGTGTGGCTATTTTTGATCAAACTCTTGAAGTCAACCGTAAAACTCGAAGTGCCTGCAATTGCTTCTACTGCAGAAGAAAGAATGGTCTTCTCTTCTTAATCTCATGTGATTTATCATCCAAACTTAAAGCGATTGCATGTGATTCCAGTCCAACTAAAAGACCAGACTTAAGTTTTCTTGTCCCTTGTTCACTTTTATGTGCCCGCAGAAATCTCGTTGTGTCACCGGCTGACCTGGATATAATGTCGAACGACTTTGCTTGTGGACAATAACTTACTGACACACAGTAATAGCTACGCACGTTGGAAGTGATGCGCATACTTGCTTTGGCACGACTAGAGCTCAGAAAGTATTTAGAAGAATGAATCTGCAAGGTCCAAACCTACCGCGACATACAATCCAACGTTTTAGCAGACCGTTCTACCATACTTGAAATGCCCGTTATCTGCGGAGATTGGTATGCACGGTACGCTAATGTGCCGTAGTGACATACGACGCACACTCCCAGCGTTGTACGCTCGTATCATGAACACTCCAAGGACGCAAGCGCACAGCCAACATACGCTTCTGGCCACCTTAAAGTGTATATGATACGAGCGTACATCAACAAAAAATGTGCTAATGCCCATCCTTAGAGTTTAGATCTACAGAAAAACTCATCCGAGCGTACAATACACAATGTGTTGACGCCTGTCTTTAATTGTGTATCTACAATCATACCAGCGACAACACATAATGTGATGGTACCCTTTCTTGAAGTGGGTATCTATATCATAATCATACGAGCGTACAGCACACAACGTAATGATACCCAACCTTGGCGTGTTGCGTCGTATGTATCATACGAGCGTACAACACACACAATGTGATGGTGCCCTTTCTTGGACTGTGTATTTACAACATAATCATACCAGCGTACAACGCACAATGTGATGGGGCTCGTCCATGGCGTGTTGCGTCGTATATATCATACGAGCGTACAATACGAACATCCAACAGACAATTTGTTAATGCCATCCTACCTCATTGGCACCCTAATTTGAGCTCCATGCACCCGTGATTGCACCTTGCCTTCCTTTAGAGATGTCCGTGTGTACGTGTACTTGATCAAGTCGAGCAAGGAGTACCAGCTAGCTCGCCGCGTCTCGTTAAATCTTGCAACATTATCAGCATACTCGCCTTTCGCATACGGTCTCGTGTCTTTGAGTGTGTGTGTCATGCAAACTAGTATGGCTTGACATTTTCATCTCGCGCATCGTAGTTGAGTCGTGCACATCGATTCGTACTTTGAACCCTCTCTTCACTTACGTCGCAACTCATGACTTTTGTGCAGACCGTCATTTTGATCAAAGCTGAAGGGCGATGTACAGCGTGGGACCCATGCGTTAGATATATTAACAATGTCATTTAGCACTGGAAGTTGGGCTCGGAGCCGAATCGGAAGCGATTCGACTTGTAACGCTACGGTGCTGCTTTAACAGAGTCCCGATATCCACCAGG